GGGGGGGGAGGACAAAAATGGACAGACAAACGGCATCCTTGTTGAACACATGAGCGAATCAGACATTAAACACCACATCTCTTCATTCACCCTGTTGATGCCGCATGAACGAAGCGTGTTGGAGAAAAAAAATCATGCGAAGAAAAAAAAAAGGTGTGCCTTTTTTTTTTTTGCGCACCGCTGTGATGTGCCGGAGAAGAGCAGCCTTACCTGAATCGGGGTGAATCTTTTATACATTCTTCAAAGTCCACCGTCATTTTTGCGTTTTTTCTCGTGTATTCCCACTTCAGTCTGCCAATGTCATTGCCCGCGGCGGGATGTCGCTTGAACCGTGCGGATGGTGACTGGTGTCCCCTGACGCGCAGCAGTCTGTCGCCCCTCTCCCGGTGGCACCGTGACACAGAATGCGAGCTGAGTGCGCGGCGGCAGGCAGATTACTACAACGCTGCTGCCGACACCGGAGAGAGGCGTAGCTGCACCGAGGAGACTGACGGAGGAGGAGAGAGGGCCGAGCAGACACCACCTGCAGGAACGCAAGGAAAACATGGGACAAGGACAGACAAATATCCAGATTTTTTTTTTCTATCAATCTCTGTCAAGTCGAGGGTAGCCTAATAGGACAATCAGGAACTTTAGTGTAATAATCGAAACAAGCAGACAATAATAGCAGGTATATATAAAAAAGTTTTAAAAAATACACCATTAATGCAAAATTAATGCATAAAATGTGTGAGAAAATGTGTAGAATGTATGCATAAATAAAAAGAGTTTTTTTTTTTTTTTTTTTTTTTAAAAGGAAGGCTCAAGAGAGGTTTGCTACAGTTCAGGAAATGATCCATAGCCTATAGAATAAGCCAAATATTTACATTTTGAAGGTTTGGATGTAATCAATAGCCCAGTAAAAGCTCACTAGGTAGACACTCTCTACTCCAAAAATGAGCTACATTCCCAATAATGTTGCCAACATGTCAAAAAAAATTGTCAACAATTTCCTAAATAAAGTTTTATCTTATGTATCTAAAACATTTCGTAGTTTAGGCATGCAGCCTATTGGACATTTTAAATTGAAATTATATAATTTTTAGTCTAAAGAGCAAAAAGAAAAAATATCAACTTCAAAATAAAGAATCTCTGACTTTTCTATTACTCTAATCAAGGGAATCAGATTTCAATCTCTCCAATCAGCAATTACATATTTAATGATATACCTATATAGACGTGAAATGAAAGTGCGTTTCAGTGTAATGATCAAGTTTAATAGTTTTTCTGTCTTCTTCCCTTTATCCAACTTTGCGTTAATCCCGTTGAACTGGCTGCTCGGGTTGACCGTCTTTTGCACGCTTGTAGCTGACACATCTCTACCATAGATACGGTTTCTGGCTTTAACGATTTTGAAGGAAGGAGCCTTCGAGGTTGGAAAGAGTCGAGACACACCTCCTCGGCTCGTTGTGACGCAATCAATAGGCGACGAGCAGGACTGCTACAAAATATCCAGAATTTACAGTCATTAAGTAAAAAAAAAAAGTTAAAAAGGATTGCTTGAACCGGTGTTTATATTTTTGTTCATTTTTCAGTGAATTACTGGCTGTCAGAGCTTGGAAACAGCATTTATTATGTTAATGTGTCGACAAACCTGCTGCCTTAGACGACCAGCGTGGAGGTGCTACTGCGCATGTGTCGTTTCACTTGAAGGTTATCGCAGCAAGTCTTTTTCACACGAGGCACATGTGTGTTTATTTCTGAGTTAATACTGAATTGATTTGCTAACCTGGACTCATAATATATCCACGATAAGCTTGTTGTTACTGAGGTCTCTGCGGCACTTCCGGACTACAAAAATCTCCCTTGACGCTCGTGCTGCTGTGTTGTCTCCGCTGCAGTCTGTCACATGTGTTCATTTCCAAACACATGAGCTTCTCAGCTCAGATATGTGACAGTGGACCTTCAGGAACTTGCTGCAAACATTAAAACATCATTGATGTTGTGTCACAGCTGGAGCCGTAGAATGAGTTTCCAACGTAACGTCTAACTCTTGGAAAGTAGGTGGAGACATCATGAGCAACGCGGCCCGTTACCTCATCTTTTTTCAGTACATCGGAACCAAATACAGGTAAGTCACATGACAGAATGAGGAGTTCCGTTTAAATGCGCGCTAATGTAATATATTTTTTAAAATTCTGATTATTTCTGCAGCGGTGTAGTCAAAGTACGTCCACATGTGGTGGGCAAGACAGGAGTCCAGGACCACTTGGAGGTAAGTTTGAACTCACTTTGACTTATTGAAGTGTCTGAGGACATTCTGCCTCTGATTCACTGGTGTTAAATGTAATGAAACAGATAAAACTATTCTAATCTGCCACGTGAGTCTAATCAAAGGCAGCACCCTTTACTGGCAAATTAAACATTTCTGAGAAAAAGCTCAATTAAGCTTTCTTGTTCTAAAACATAAGTATTTTGCAAATCATTCTTACGTGATGCCTAAAAGTGTTTAATTAAATAAACACATGGATGACCTTGTAGATGACTTGGACAACTTTTATCTGACAAATATGAACAATAACAGGGATTTTTTTTTTTCTTTTTTCAGTGGTTTCAGTTTATTCAGCTAATGACTCTGCATGCTGTTGAGCATGTGATGTGAAGGACTGACCAACAAATGGTCCTGTCTTAATAGCATAGGATTTCTAGTATGTTTTCAATAGTACCATAAACCCTGCATCACTCATCTGTCGTGGACATGAAACTGTTAAAGAACCCCTCTGGTGAAAATCAATAAAAAATAAAAATAAAAAAAAAATCTCTTTAACATATCTATATGGTAGCTCAAAAACATTCATCATGTCTTCTTACTGATAATATAATGTTCAGGTTCTCTATTCAGACATGTAGAGTGTGCTTTTATTACCTGACAGTTTCGGCGAAAACTCTCACCTTCTTCAGAGATGACACTGACAGCGGGTGACGTGTCAGCCGGCAGATTTTGACACTGTCAGGTAATAAAAGCACACTCTACATGTCTAAATAGAGAACCTGAACATTATAACATCTATATGGTGCTTTTGTCAGGTCAGTGCCATGGTTTGGAACTTCCCTGAAAATGCAGTAATGTCTGTCTCAAAAACACAGACTTCCAGGGTTTCGTGCATAACAAGCCTAAGGAGGCAATCTTGTCTGCATGCAGAATGGAACGTTCCATATCGTTCTTCTGCAAAATCGGTTTCCGGTTTGAATTTAATTTAATTGCTCCTTTATTACAGCTCGTCACTGTGCAGTTTTACAGTGTCAGGACAGAGTCGTAGGTGAGCTGGTGTGCTCGATCTGCAGCGAGTGGAGAGGGACGTCTGCAGATAGAGTTGGAGACAACATAGATCCACACATTCTAAAGGAAGAACCAGTGTAGATTTACATCTAAACCATTTAAAGGGGAAAGGGGATTATTTTCAGCGGAAAAAAATTCTAAAAAAAAAATACAAATGTTGATATGTGGTGATAAATGTCAAATGTCAACAACAGATTCAGATTCAGAAAACTTTGTTTGTCCCCAGGGGGCACGGATTCAATCTCAACAAAAAACAACCATTTGAGTGGGGAAAATTGCAACTTGGACCACCACTTTATTTCTTGGCAATGAAGGAGTGAAGAAGAGATGAAACATCCATCCATCCATCCATCCATTATCTATACACTGCTTAACCATTTAACCTCAGCATGTTTTTGGACCTTGAGAGAACCCACACTACACGGGGGAAACATGCAAACTCCACACAGAAAGATCCCGGAGCCCCCACCGGGATGCGAACCAGCAACCTTCGTGCTGCGAGGCAACAGTGTTACCAACTGTACCACCTTGCAGCCCCAAAGACTGACATGTTTACTACAATCAATTAGATTCATTTGTCTTTTGAATATTGTTATTTCTATGCACTTTGACTGCTCTCAGTGGACTCGACTCAACTTGACTCGACTGTTATCAGTGCAATGCATGTGTCAGTCTGGTTTTAGAATCCATAAAATCCACATGTCACACACCAGTCATTCAGTAAACAAATAGCAACATTACCTGTCTACTGAATGAATGCTGTGCAATCAATGACCGGAGAGGGACTTCAACCATAAAGCACATAAAATAATGTTCCTGGTTTACATTCAGGTTGGAGAATTTTGTTGTGTTTCTCTCCGTTCCCTCGTTTCTTATCAGCTTTCTACTGTCTGTCTGCGTCTCTGATAAAGGCATAAAAATTCCCAAAATATAATAGAAAATAAACACTCACACACACAAAAGGAAACAAAGAGAACACAGCAGAAAAGATCACAGACTATCTGTCAAGTCATGCTGCTGTTTACAGCTCTATTTGATTTCCTTTTGATGTAACTCACCCGTCACAGACCGTTTGTGGCAGACTGGGAGTGATTTCAGAAGCTCAAAAGTAACTCTTTCAAAAGTTGTTTTTTAAATTTATTTATTTATTTTACAGTATATCAGCCCACAGCTTTTTATATTTCTCCGTCTTTGTGCAGGATGCAATCCGGAGGCTGAGGCCGCTCAACCCAGCGTCTCTGTCAGTGTCCAGCAGGACAGACGCTGGGGTCCACGCCCTCTCTAACTCTGCCCACTTTGACCTCCAGCGCAAGAACGACAAGCCTCCGTTCACTGAAGACGTTCTTGTTCAGGCTCTCAATTATCACCTCAAGACAGAGCAAATCAGGTGAGTCAGAACTCTTTGGATGAATTTGATATAATCGTAGATGTTCATCCTAACATAGGGTTTCAGCGTACATCTGGACATGCTTTGCCACAATCATTTGAAATCTTTGATTGTGAAGTTTAATCTGATTAAAAAAATTTTTTTAAAAAAGTCTTGTACAATCTTCTTCACCTGCATGGTAACACACGTCCTTTATATTGAGACCACATCGGTGTAAGTAGCAACCCTTAATCCACTGTGAGCAGTGGTGCAAGAGGTATTTAGATACTTTACTTAAATACAAGAAGTAATGCTACAGTGTAAAAATACTCTGCATTTAAAGTCCTATTTAAGTAAATGTACTAAATATTAGCATGAAAGTATAATTATAGTGCCTACAGTAAAAATAACACTGGGTTACAAAAAAATATTTTTTTGAAGGTGTCTAGGATTTTTTAAACTGATTTAGGACATTTTTGCAACACTGAATCCAAAAATGACGTCTGCTTTTCTGTATCAGGTCAGGTTTTTATGCCACCTCGATTTTTTAAAAAAATTGATTTTGCCACTAAAACGATTACATTTTTTGACATTAGCGATTGATTTATTTTAGTATTTCTCATATAAAATTTGATTTTAGAGGAAAATTTTCATTTTCTAACCCTTTTCATAAGCTGAATGATCCAAAAGTTGATGTGCATAAACATTTGTAAAGGTAAATACAAGTAAATTGCATGTTTCATCAGCATTGCTCAAAATTCAGGGCTTGAACTTGAGCTTCTTGGAACTCCTGGAATGATCAGCAGCAGGTATATCTCTCTTCAGAGTCCAGCAGTAATCAGCCATCATGACTGCATCTCAGCGTCCCTGATACCTGGTCTCCATCTCTTTCTGATAAAATCACGTGACTCTAATATGTTGTTGATAAACCAGGGGGTAAACGTTCTATCTAAATTTAATTCATCTGCAAATATTTATAGTAGCAACTTGTAAAGGTTTCAGAATTTGTTTGTTTCAGGAAATAGAAAAAGAATTTTGTATGATGCAAAGCATAGATACCCGCACATGTACACAAAAATGTAAAAAAAAAAAGTGTATGTGGTGACAAGTCAAAATTTTGACCTCATTGAGGAAAACCAATGTAATATTTGGATTCAGCACATTGCAGTAGTCCAAAATCAGCTCAAAAAACTTTGACACCAAAGTGGGTGTAGATCAGTGTAATCATTATGCAGAATGCGTATTTTAGAATTATATATTATATTACAGGAGTGTAATCATTAATTCATTTTTGTGCATGTTAATGCTAATTCTAGTTACTTTATACACTTCCAAGAAGTTTAACTTTTTAGGTGATGTAAGTTTTATAGTTCATATCAATACTCTGCTAAATCTAGTTAATACATCTGCAAAGTATCCAGTTCCTAAAGCTTTAAAATGGAGGTAGCAGAGTACAAAGTACAATATTTGCCTCCACAATACAGTGAAATAGAAGGAGAAAGCAGCTCAACATGAAAATAATTTAGTAAAGTACAGGTAAATAGAAATTGTACCAAAGTAAAATACTTGAGTAAATATACTTAGTTACATTCCACCACTGACTCTGAGCCACCCGTGAGCCCTTTTGTGTTGACATATATTATATTGACATAAACCTGCTCAAATGTTTTATTTTAGATTGAATGTACAGAACCACAGAGCCAAATATTCACAGTCTGGACTGTACATAGTGCTGTGGAAAAATTTTAGCCGCTCGATGTTTAGATTCGTATGCATCCTCAGTACCATCTGGGAAGCATCTGATTGGTCCCACATTCATTTTACAGCATGACGACAACCCCAAACATACAGCCGAGTCATAACAAACACAAGAAGGACGAGGAGTCTTGCAGTAGACTGGTTCAACCTGCCAAGGTCCTTGAAAAACTGTGCTCAAGTGTACGTTGGAAAACAGGGTCTGTCTTGGGTGACCGTGAGAATACTGATTGTATGTCGGTTTTTATGTGTCTGTGCCATCAACTGTGGACAGGGGCATTATATTTTAAGGTTGTCCGTCCTGTCCTCCTGAAAGTCAAAGTCAGTGCGACCTCACAAAACACGCTTTTGGCCACAACACAAGAATTCAATCCAAACTTGTGACAACATTTTACACAAACATGTAATAGAATGAAACGATGAAGTGACGACTTTTTATATCCAAAAGGTCAACTTCACATCATACGGTTCAGCTGAAACACTATTCTGGCTTTACTCAGTGCCATAACTCAGCAACAGAGGGAGATGTGACCGCAAGGATGTAACTATACTTTCACATTTTGTATGAAGTTAGTTGATAAATAGACACTATTCGTGGCATTATTTTTGCCTGTTGAAAATCACAAAGTCTTAAACTGATATTTGAGTTTCTAAGTATATATTAACATGATTCTGCTGGGGTTTTTGTTCATAAAACTATGTCATTGATTACCTAATGTCACACAGCTTTTAGAAATCTTCTTAATGGTTCTCAGTTATGAATCGTATTTCAGTGTATTTGCTTGTTGTGACTTCAAAGTCCTAAGAGACTGTAGCAAACCCTGGGACACACAAACAATATGCATTCATACATTTATAGAATGTATCTCCTGAGGATTTACCGTTTTTAATAAATCACAAACAGAATCATGACTGAACTTGACATCTGCTCTGGGGATTAGCCTATTCTGAGGTTTGGTGAAATGCCAGAAGTTCACCTGTTGAGAATTTAGTGGAATACAATTTTCTATGTCTGTCCCATCTTCTTCTTTTCACATTGTGCTTTTCTTTTCTTCTCCTTGTAATCCCTCCATTACATATCTGTGCATTATTCAGAACCACTGTTGGATATAACTACTTGTCTTTATACTGCTGTGATACGTGTATTTATTTAGTCAGCAGCTTTTCTGCTGAAGAGAGAAGAAGAACAGAGAAGCAAAGGGATAGAAAAGACAAAGAGGAGAAATGGCTAGATAGAGGAACAGATAAAAAGAGTCAGTGAGAGAGGCTGCAGAAGACAAAGTTGAAGCACCAAACATATCATGATACACTGAATGAAGATAGTGAGTGTGAAAGAGAGTGAACCATTTAGGAAACACACTGAGAGTAGAGGAGGGAGGCAAGGGGAGCTCCCAGCATCCCGCTAATCCCCAAACCTGCAGAGGGAAGGTTAGAAAGGATTATCTTTATTCTGGTTTTTGGTCTATGGCGTCCATTAACACACACACACACACACACACACACACTCATTTAGTTTAAATGTGAAAATACACTCATAAACACACTTTTTTTTTTTTAACACAGTAGACACTTGATAGAACAGTGTTTTATATATTGCTTTATATCTGCTTTATATTGACACTGAAAAAATACTACACCATCAGCAATATTCATGCACAGCCTCATATGATCAGACTGGATACAAGTTTTTATTCTTGGAAGAAGAAAAGAAAACTTCAGATCTGGTGCCCCAGACTATCTCTTCACATCTTGCGCAGAGGGAAGTGGTAACCAAAAGGAATTTTTTTTGTTACAGCAACAATCACAATATGGCTCCTGGCTCGCAGCTTTGGTCTGCCGCCTCCTGAGATAGAGAGCCAAGGCAAGATTTAAACATAGACTGCACACTGTAAAAAATATCTCTTCTGCTTCACTTGTCTTCTGCTGTAAAAATGGGCCTCAATTAGCCTAAAATGAATGGCCCTTTTCCCATAAGGGGAAACTGCTGAATAGCAAAATGGTGCCATGCCAAACAATGCCCCAGTTCCCAAATGTGTGAGGCCATGCTTTGTAACACTGCTTATGAAAATTTGATGTGTGTGTGGTTTGGGGGCCAGGCGAAGGCTGTCACTTCACATCTGAGCTGCCGCTGAAGGCAGACGCAAGGGTTTCCTCTGCCACGTGTCACACCCAATCTCCTCCCCTGGAAACGTAACCTAGTTTCTCTCACTGTGCACCGACTCACACACTGAGATAGACACACACATGTGCACATGCATGTGATGTGTGCATTGTTCACATAGTTCCATACAGTCCTGCTTGCTGATGTGCCACCACCGCTCGTCATCTCCCATGTTCTCAAACACACAACGGACACATGCATGAATGCTCTGACTGCATGCCCTGAGTGCAGGCGCACACGTGTGTGGACCAACACTATAGGGTGCTGATGGGCTTTGTGCATTCACAATCACACTTGTGCAGCTGGCTGCAGCTCTTTGTTCTCTCAGTGTACAGATGAAGGATTCCCCACTTGTCACTGTGTTATTAGCTTAAACTGTTACCTCTTTGGCCTACATGTTGCATTTTACTTTCTTTATCACCTGTACAAATATAAAGAATGATAATGAAACCAGGTGTTAGATGACAATAGTTAATCAGTTATAATTTAGGTCTTTTCACAATCAGAAGATGCTGCAACAACAAAAAGCCTGATCCACCTCTTACTCACCAAGATCTCCTTGTGGCGTTGAGTTTAAGCTTTACATTTATGCATAGTATATTTACAAAGACTGTAAAAATGTCTTTATTAATCATAATTATTAACACTATATTTTAAATTTTTGAGGCTTCAAATGTGAAGCTTTAATTTGCTTCATTATGCTGTTATTGCACTGTTGAAAAGTCGCCTTTTGGCTGGTTGGGCCACCGCTGTGGTCGAACTTTCTCATCAAATATCAGCTGGATTGCTGCGTAATTCATTGCAGACCCTCAAATCAACAGGAGGATGAACTTTGGTGATCCTCCTGACAAGTGTCACAATCAGGTTGGAATTTTAGTTTGTCCACTACTTTGGTTTTTGAGCAAACACCTGCAAAACGAAGAACATTCCTCACATTCAGCAGCATTAGCTGTACTTTGGTTTTAGTGTGTAATAGCAAATATTAGCATGCTAGACTGCTATCTAAGCTGGAAAATGTGAGTGAGCATTTCAGCTGTTTAACAACATTGCATTTTGAGCATGTTATCACTGCTGGACCCAAAGAAAAGCCTCGTATTTGTGTGACTACAGACTGCCAACATAGTAGCTGAGCTCATGACTGACTCTTACATGCGATTGAAGCAAAGAGGGAAAGATTTGCCCAGTTTTGGGTATTAATTCATTCGTAGTAGTGGATTTCGGCAGGATCTGCCAGTACATTTTTGGACATATTCAAAAAGATTCTGGCATTTTCATAATTGCTGCAGCATCAGACACGAGTTCTCCTTTGAAAAGTTTGAAAAGCCAGAAATATTCAAACCCCTTTTTGTCTGTAAATCTTTGATCTTTTATTACGCAGCACAACTTGGGTCATTGTTTCAGCGACAACTATTTGCACAAAGTAGAAAGTTAGAATAATTGAGATATACATGTAGAACTCTTATCAGAAATGCCAGTGACATTCTCCATTCTGTTTTAGGATGTCACGCAGCGTCATGAATCAACTGATATAATTACAGTTACTACGTCTGTCCCTGCCTCTGTGTGCACAGACACACAGGAAGTGTCTTGTGTTATCATGCTGGAGTCACATCAGAGAGTCTCAGCCTGCGAGTCTGTTCTGATGCTAACTGTGTTACCAGAAGCGCTTTGCTTTTCAGGGCTCTTGGCAGCCCTTTTACGACTCTGACAACGGGTGTGCCTTTGTATAAAAAGCTGCAATGTTGGCATTTTGGACAATGACTTCTACACAGTTTTTCTTGCTGGCAGCACAAATGAGAGTATTAGCACCATCTGTGTTTGGGGACTGTTTCTATTGAAGCAAGAACGAAGCAATATTTGTTGTTCAGTTTTTGTCTAAACGTCCACCAGACCTCAGATGTTCAAAGATGCCCTCCAGGGATTTTATGTCTAATACAGATTTTCTGTTGGAAAGTCCATTTAACCTGGTTAGACAGTCTGAAAATGTTAACTATGTCTCCTCCCTCACTAAAAAAAATATTGACTTTTATTTTACTTTAAAATAGAAAAATGAACAATGTCTTCTTTATTGCTGTCCATTTTTAGGGAATGTGGAATACAGGCTTCGAGTTTCCACAACAAACTGGTGCAAGTTGCCTGAATTGGACCAGCATTGGCTTCCAGACTAGCTGAAATCACAAATCCCGTTTACAGGTACAGGCTTTAAATTAGGATTGTGGGTGAGCTGAGAGAAGCTTTCTGCTTTTGCACATAAATCTAAAACCTTTTAGTGTAAACTTTTAGTCGAAAACTCTGCACATCACACACACATTGATCTGTACGATGAAGCAGTGAAGAGAAAAATGACCAAAACTTGTCCTTTTTTGACTGACTTTTTGAGAACATATTAATTTATGAGGGATCACAGACTTCTACATAGATCATGTGCTTTTTGTTGTATAAATCAATGCTACAAATTAAAAATCACTGCTATCATTTAAGCCCTCTTTTGCTCATCCTTCCAGGGTCACCCACGCCCACCGGGTTTCTGATGACTTCCACGCCCGTTACAGTGCCCAGTCTCGGACCTACATCTACCGAATCGCGCTGGGTCTCCCCCACTACTCTGCGCTTCCCCTTGTAGACTGTCAACTGTGCTGGAACCTCCGCAACACGTGAGTGATCCCAGTTCATACACCACCCCCTTCTTCATTCACTGATGTCTTTTTTTTTTTTTTTTTCTTCATTCTTCAGTGTGCATGCGCATGATTTAAAAAGAAAAAAGAAAAAAAAAAAAAGCAGAACTCAGACTCTAAAGCTCAATCTAGCTGCATACGTCACACACTCTCAATAAGCTCATGTCAAGCCTTGCAGAAACAATGGCACGTTAAACACATGAATAATCCACATGTGCCATGCCGGAGCTGCAAATTAGGGACAGTCAAACAAAGTGTTTTATCTGAGATGACATCCAAAAAAAAAAAACAAAAACAAACAGAGGAGAAGGGAGGAGAGAGAAAGAAGACGGGATGAATGGAGAACAAAAAGAGATGAAATGGCGACGGGCTACAAAGCTTATACGCTGCTCTTTTAGCTGTGATTGGAAGGAGGGATCATAAAGAGTGCATGTTTGAGCATTTGTCTGCACTTCTCTCTCCACTTTTTGGGGGAAAAGTAGGGCAAGATAAGCTGCAGGCTTATACACATGCAGAACAACACCCACGCATTTTTTTACCCTGTGTTTCTTCTCTCTCTCTCTCTCTCTCTCTCTCTCTCTCTCTCTCTCCCTCTCTCCCTCCCTCTCCCTTCCTTTCTCCTTCTCTCCATTTTTTCCCTCTCCATCTCTTTCCATTCTCCTTCCTTCCTTAATTTCTCTCTCTGGCGTCTCTGCTTCGTTATCCCTCTCTCATGTTCAGCATTCATCTCCTCCTTCCAGCCCTGAGCGTCTCTGCCTCAGCAGCGTCTCTCGTTTCTCTCTTTGATCTGCCTCTCCCTCGTCATCACACCCACTGCAAGAAATATGAGTCAGATTATTTCGCTTTGTTCAAGATTGGATGAATGTTGAAATTGAGTTATAATATTGCAGCAGATTTTGGGGAATCACTGAAAGATTGATTGCATGATGTAAGCGGTCTCTTCACGTATTTCTAGTTTATATTTATATCAGATTTTCAAACTGAAATATAGATCACTTCTTGGAATAGATCCAGCTTTTGATCATCTACACCAAAAAAATGTTTGATTATAAATGTCACAAAATAGTATGATAAATGCCCGTTACAGTTTTCCAACATACAAAGTGATGACTCTGAAATGCCTGTTTGTGCAGGATGAAAATACTTGATTGTGGTTGTATTGTATGCAGCTCATGTATGCACCATTAAAACCGAGAGTTCTCCCTCAATGTGTTCTCCACAGTTCTAAATAAATGATGATCGATGACAATGTAACAAAGAAAAAATAGCAAATGAAGATGAAACTGAGGAATATCTGGCATTTTGTCAATACGTCAGTCAACTCCTCAAATAACCGTCTTGCGTTTTCAGGTCTGACCTCCACAAATAAATTGATAAAATAATTATAATTACGAGACAAAAATGTAAAAGACACGTGCACATGCATTTGCAAATTGATTAAAGTCCTGCGCAGCAGTTTTGTGCTGAGATTATATATCTAACAGCAGCCTGATAACATGCAAATGTTCAGCAGAAATAATCGTTTTCATCTTTGCTTAACAGGTTAATTGGCAACCTCATTCTGTTACAGAAGATGGGAAGGATACAGTACAAAAAGTTAGGGCTTAATTGAAATTAACAAGCTGTTAAAACTTTTTTGCACATCTTCATTCATGACTGACTCTCATGTTCAAGATTTTAAATTAGCGCATTAAGAATTTAATTAGTAAGTTCTCTCTGCACACTCCATCATTTNTGTCAGATCATATTTAAGCATTGACAGAAGCACAAGACTGTAGAGAATCTGAGCACCGAGCACACCACTGCCGCTCGCTGCCTTAAATGAGCCGGCCGTCGACATGCTCCGCTCTCTCACGTGGCATTGTCCCTCAGTATTTTCATATTATATAAGTCTGCCAATGAATTATTCTGCTTTGAAAACAGGAACATGCAGGACTGAAAACACGGCACGCTTAACGTGCACACTTGTGCTTGACCACGCTGCTCGGAGAGGTCACCTTTTGGGTCAGGGTGCAATATCACAATAAGCCTGCTGATTTTGGAAGTGTGTTGACCTCAAGGGGCTCGTAGTTCTTCCCTGAAATATATTGTTTCTTATGTTTACTTGTATCTTCCTTTTGTTCTGTCTCTCATCAGGGAGCTCGATGTGGAAGCCATGCGTGAGGCTGCTGCCATGCTCGTCGGCACTCATGATTTCAGCACATTTAGGGCTGTCAACTCTGACATGCCGTTTAAAAGCCCCGTGAAGACGCTGGACGTGGTCGACATACAGCCAGGAAGCTCCTTTGCAGGTGCACACTTCCACAGGTAGACTACAGTATGAGCTCAAGTAGACTAATCACTGATTACCAGCAGTCTGCCAACTTGTAAAAAATGATTGATTTACACATTATTGGATCTTTTGGTTGCTTGGGGGTAGCACAAACAAAGGCGATTAGAGCAGTAAGAGTGAACTAAAACTGTTGACAAGAGACAGTAAACCAAATCATTGACTTGAAAGTCACCACTATGCTACATCTGTGGAGCTCTGCTGAGTTACATGTCAATTCTCCGTGGGTTTGTCACTACAAGGAACCCCCTTCTACACTGTGTGTCATTTTATCCACAGTTCAACTGATGTATCCACCACAGTGACAGTGAGAGCCACAGGTCATTCATGATATTTGTCAAAATAAATAAATAAATAAATAACAGAAAAGCAAGTAAATACTGCACTTCTGTTTGCTGGGTACCGAAAAATATGATTTTAAGTGATGTCGTAACTGCGGCGTTGGCTCACACAGTAGAGCTGGTTGTCTGGTGGGCAAGAACTCCAAGTTGCTGATAATTTCCCTCCCAGTTATTTCCATGGCAGCTCTCCTGCCTGTGTGTGTGTATGGGTGAATTTTACATTCTACATCAAGATTTGACATTTTGGGAAATATGTTTGTGTACTTTTTTGCTAAAGGTTAGATGGGAAAGTCAATACTCTGATGACTCTAGATTGTCCTTGGGTGTGAATGTGAGTGTGCTTGGTTGTCTGTCTCTGGGTGTGGCCCTGTGATAGACTGGCGACCTGTCCAGGGTGTCACCTGCCTTCGTCCTGAGTCAGCTGAGATAGACTCCAGCCCCCCCGCGACCCTAGTGAGGATTAAGCGATGTGTAGATGATGTATGGATGGATATCACTGCAAAATGTGTGATTTTTATTATCAAAGCAACACAAGATGTACCATAGGAAGTGGTGCTTGAGATTGCAGGACAACTGCTTAATGCACTCTGACATAATAGCACATCTAACTGTTGGATCATACAGGTAGAAACGCTGTTTGTGTTCATTATTGTGTGTGAGATTGTGTGTGAGGCAGATTTATGTACCACAGACAATGAGGATCCAACATAATCTACAGTGGAGAATGAGGGTGAGAGGTTGAGACAGAGGGGTGGAGAAGGCCATGTGGGCTTTGGGAGATTACCCGTCCACGGGGGGTCGCTCTGCATGCCAAATACCACTTTCATGGGCATTAATTATTTGCCCTGAAAATATGGTGCACAATATGGACACGGACAGACTGTGAGTAAATGTCACCCAGTCCCTTAACCCCAACACACACGTGGTGCACTGACAAGCCGCGAGCACCAGAGTTACAGATCTGTAATATGTTTCGTATTATATTCATACTCAAGAAGTACATTTTCACCAAACTAAAGCCTTTTCCTTCTCTTATGCTCTACAGAAGTCCCATGAATGACCTGAACATTGGCCCCAGTCTGGTTATTGAAAGCCTACAGCTGAGCTGTGTGTTTATTTTTTCATGAGGGTCACTATTCTAAGTAACGGTGATAAAATGAGCAGAAACTGGTCAATTATTGAAAAGCCAAAGGTTGAACTGAATTTTTGATCCTAAACAGGGGGATGTGGTATGTGAGGTGGAGTTCTTTGGTCTCCATTTGCAAATAGGAAAAATTGAGTTGCTTTTTTATTTCTTTCCAAAATAGCTGATCTCATTTTCATACATAAGTGAACAGTTCTATATTTCAGAGCTTTGTGTGGGACATACTGTTTTTTCACTGTAAGAATATGTTCACTTTTGGTTTGTATGTATTTTTAAATAATCTGCTAACTGTGAAAAATAGTTCAAGAGACAAGTTTGAGCAGGATGTGGTGGATTTATTTATTTTTTCTAGATGTCATATGTTATATACATTCACATAGTTGTTAGAATCAAGTTACATAGCTACACTTTATTTACCACATTTCTCTTTTAATCTCTTTCTGTGGCTGCAACTTGAAATTATATTTACAACTGAAGTGGCTGGAGGCATTGTGTTTTCATCCGTCTGCATCTCCTGAAAGAAATCTCTTTAAATTTAGTGCAAATGTTTATTTGGATATAATGATGAACGGATTAGATCTTGGTGGTCAAAGGTCATTGTGATCTCCTGTAACACATTTCTGCCCGTAACTCAAAAATATATACGCTAATTATAACAAAATATCACACAGATGTCTAATAGGATAAACTCAGGAAGTGATGACAAAGGTCAGCTTCTGTACAAACACTGCTCTGACCATTTTTTAATACAGAAGAAGAAAGATGGAAGTAAATTGCAACTTAGCTAGTTGGCAGAGACACACAACCGCGGGTTAATGCATATTTTATCCATCACGGTGCCCCAAAGCCCAAGGTGACATCTTAAAACTGCCTGTTTGTGGTTTCCTTAAGCCACGGCTGCAACGTGAATCAAGAGATAGTCATGTCCCCAGGGTTCCCAGAGGATGAATCACACTGACTTTGGTGATCCCCTTACTTTTCCTCTGGTGCCACCGTGAGGTTGAACTTTGTGGTTTTCAGTAAAATGTTCCAGCAGCTGTTGTATAGTTTGCAGTGCAATTTGGTTCAGACTTTGTTTGCATGCTGTATTTTGTATTTCTGCAATTAGCATTGGCCTTAGTTGCTTTGTTAGTTGCTCTTTCTTGTTTCGCTTTTATCAGTATGTTATTTTTTTTTCTAATATTTCTATCTATTTCTTAGAATTGTTATTGTGAGCTTGGTAGCAAGCTGATGTTAGCATAAAGCACCTCTGAGTCTCAGTACAACCTCAGAGAGCTGCTAACATGGATGTAGACCCTGTAAATGAATTTAATGGGGGTAAACTAATTAATTGTTTCTGCTTATCAGCCCATCTGAGCTAAATCATCAACTCAAAATACTCTCATGTCGAAAGCATAAACAAATAGAAAAATACAAAAATATCATAGTTTGGCCCAGTGAACATTATCATGTTATGTGTGACTATTTGTTAAATTAGTCAGACACACATAGAAATGCATGTGTGACTGTGCGTCTGCTTTATTCTCATCTAAAGATAATGTCCCTCACAGAGTCCACGAGCGAACAGCCCTGCTATACAAATCTGTCTCTGCTTTTCTTACATGTCACATGTAATCAGACAGCAAGCGCTGACTCAAATTTGCATTTGACCCAATTCTTCCCATGTGCCTGTTTGCGCAGTTCACTCTTTCCTCCCCAAAATAAAAACTCAGGGAGTTTTGACGAAGACGAAAAAGACTGATCTGACTTAAATTCTGAAATAACAAACATCAGGAAAAGAAGTTAAATGTCAAATTGCAAAAAAAGAAAAAAAATTAATAAATCATATTTTCTATGGCATTACACATAATCCTGTTGGGCCTAAGCTGCAGTGCCGTATTCAGCATGTGACATTTAAACAAATCTGTGCACGAGCAGAGTCCCGGGCTCTATCTGATGTCTGGCATGAATGTCACATCAGCCTCAGTCCGCACAGACGGGCACGGCATTGAAATGTCTGACAAAAGAGAGATAAAGGAGAGCCGCATCTTAACGCATAATAGACACGAGACAGGATCCTATTCAGCTGAAATGAGTTTGGTCAAGAGCAGTAAAATGCATTTTTAGAAAAACATTTTACATGCATTTTTTTTTCTTCTCTCTTTTAGAGAGAGAGAAAAAAAGATGTCTTCCTGATCTATACTCCTCCTATATAACTGTTCTTATGAGACTGAATCATCTGACAGCCATTCTAGATATAGTGACATGACACTTTAACCCCTTCGGCAACATTTAACCTTTCTTTATTATTGCACGTTCAGTCACTGATGCAAAGTTGACTTCATGCCTTTAGGACTTCTTAATGTAACCTTTGATGTGAAGTGTTTAAATTGTGCTTTAAAATCTTTATATATATATTTTAAATTTAAAT